AAAAAATTAGCACATACACGCAAAAAATCGGCAAAGTCACGGCAATTTTAGTACAACCTCTTCTTACAAATCGAATGGTAAGCGTAATTGCATGGATAGAAGTAAACGTAGTTGGTCGAGGTGGTGCCTGAGTTGTAATGGGCAGCGCAATTAAAGGTCGGTGACCAACCGTTTTGAGTTGGTGGACCAGTCTTGAAGAGCCAGTTTCTGAAAATATACCATTTTAGGAGATTATGGTAGGGTCACGGTATCGATATGGTATTGGAAATACTTACATGGAGGATGTATCAAGAGCTCCATTGGCGAACTGGATTGGCATGTTGTCATGCTGACGAACAACTCCGATCCATGACCAGTAGAAGAGTGGGGTGATGTACATCACTTCTTCCTGTAAAAAATTGGAGAGTACGATAAGGATACAGTATGAGTACGGTAGGGATACGTATCCAAGACTTACATATTCCATGATACTGTCAGCACCAAACATAGTTGCACCCTTTTCCATACACCTTCTCTCAGCAGTCTGATAATCCATCTTCTCCATTTCTACATAGTAGCACGATGATCCATACTGCTTCCAGCCGGCGGGGCACTATAAAAATTAGCTCATCTTTCCCATTCCCCGAAAAATCGCCCATAACGGTACTTACCTGTGCTGAAGGAGCAGCTGCCTGATGTCTAGGTTGTCCCATGGGTCTTGGTGCAATTCTAGCTCTTCTTGTTTGAGGCTGAGGCTGAACTGGTCGAGGAACATATGGAACTGGCTTTCTGGCGGGGATTCGCTTTGGCGCTGTTTGGATTGGTCTTGGTGCAGTTTGGATTGTCCTTGGTGCAGGCTGAACTGGCATTGGTGCAACTACCGGTGCAGCAATCTTTTTCATTTGGCATGGAGATACTAAAAATATGTTTTTATTTACAGTGATCCCCAGAAATTCAATTTTTTGCTTACTTGTGGTCGGGGCCTCAGTAATTGGAGCGTCTTGAGTCTGTCCACAGCAGCATGGTCCTATAATTTGATATTTTGGGGAACTTTATGGACGGGTGGGGTTCCAAGATCTACCTCGTACGGGAGCTGCTTGGATTGGTTCAGGAGAAGTCTGGATCATTTCTGGTGCAGCTTGAGCGCTCATTCCACAGCAGCATGGGGATCTCGGAGCTTCGGTGGTCATCTCCTCGGGTTGTTGGAAATAGCAAGGGGCTAAAAAATTTTACATTGGGAAGGCTGAGAGGGGG